CCTTGTGCTGCTCTCAAATGACACTTTGTCGCTGACTGAAGGGAAGCTGCTGATGAGAGCCGTGGTCAGCCTTTCCCCCTGAGCTGGAAGCTCACTGGGAAGCAGGTTCTTTCAGGGCATGATCCAATGCCCATTGAAATCAGTGGAAAGACCCACTAAGTTCACTAGGCTTTGGATAAGGCTCAGGGAGAGGGGAGGGATGGAAGGGGAAATGTCTGAGGAGAGGGCAGAGATCTCCCCTGAAATCAACAATGTTCTGCAAGGAGGAAGCAGTTCAAGGCTGTGTTGTGGGAAATGGATTCCTGTAGGTGTCGGACTGTCAGTACTTACAGTGAGCTTGTCTCTAGTTAGTGCTATCAGTCCTCACTTTCCTACAACACCCCAAATGGGGAAATTCTCAGCGAGATTTTAAAAAGCAGAAGAATGCTTAGCGGACACTGCTGTCTGATTGCCTGGGGTTTGGCTTGCTCTCCAGTAAAACACTGGGTTCTGACTCTAAGTACGACAGGATCTAACCTGGACAGTGAAATCTGATAAGTGTTGCAATCCGGACAGTTATCTTTGTCTGTTTACAAACATGGAGCTTCCCAGGGGATGCCTGCCTATGTCAGGCAACCTGTTCCCTTGACGATAATGTGGCTTGGACCTGAGCACAGACACATGGTGTGAAAGACCATCCACAGATGGCAATGACAAAGAGCAAAGTATTGAGATGGGGGACAGGTTGTGCAGTGGGTTACCATGGAGATCTGTGCCTGAACTTATTTATCTGCACAATCAGCAGTTTAGTGAAATGTTTTGTTGATATTAAATTAGGATGTCGCTGAGCACAGAGAATTAATACAAAAGAATGTAGAAATAGTTGAGGCTTGGGAGGAAAATAGCAAAATGAGATTTAGCTTAGAAAAATTCACACTAATCCTTAGGTGGAAAGCAATATGAGTTATACTCCGTGATGGGGGGAATGCTACATAGCAGTAGTTACTCTTTAATTCTTACGTAGCATCCAGAGGCTCCAGTCACTGTTAGAGTCCTGTAATGCTTGACACAGTTCAAACATCCAAGAAGACGCATTCTACATTCTACAAAATCTACTGTAATCCACAAAGAAATGTAGCAGAGACAAAGGATAACAAATTAGACACTAAGCTACTGTAGTAAGATGAGGCCCTGAAACATAAACCCTTATCAGAGGCCCGGTATGAGGCCTAAGGCCTGAACTAAAGTAATGGTCAAGACTTTGCTAACATAAAGCAAAGTTAAGCTATGAGCCAGAGGCAGGCCCTGCTTGCAGAAGCTGGCAACAAAAGGGCTGATGGTTCAAAAATACATTTACCTAAAAGGTACCGGACACTAAAGATAGAAACATATGCCAGGATGATACCAGAACACTCCGATACTTGCACATTACCACACATAGATAACAAAGAACAGGCGAAGCCATCCTAAAGACAGGGGCAAAAGGGTACTATGATGGATGGAGTTGTTTTGTTCTAACCAACATGAACAAGGTGAGAGGCGGCACCTTACTGCATGGAGGGGTTGCACCTCAATACGTCAGGAATGATGTGTAACTTGTTTGTACCTGTGTATAAGAATGCATCCCTGGGGCGGTGTCTTTGTCCAGCATAGGGGGCAGTGGAGTGTCCCGCCACTGACTGAGCCGGTCCATTGTCAGGGAGCACATATGTACTAGCAGAACTGTAGACATCTGATCCGGGGAGCTAGAGACTGTGTTTCGTTTGACAATAAACCTGGCCGGGTGCCTTCGTGCCTTATCGGAGTCTGTGGTTATTGGGGGTTCTCTTGGGGGTCTGCTGTGTCAGCGATCTGCGCAGAGCCGGGGCAACACACAGAGGGAACACACGCACGCAGCTGACAGTTACCAACATTGGACAGAGCAGAGCACCACACCGGTGGCGTCTGACAACAGCTACAATACAAGAACTTGGGTTTGCTGCCCAATCAGCACTAGGGTTTGTGTTTGTGTTCAACAGTGCTAGAATCTTGTCATTTTTGTGACATATCAAATAGTGAAAATCTTCTCAGATCAACTGTTCATGAACTTTCAGCCCTAAATTCCTGACCAACACTTAGCTGCCTAATATCCTGAAAAAAGTACCACCCTCCGATATTATAATGTTATTGAAACAAATAACTCTCCCTGTCCCCGACAGCCAACCAGTAGATTTAGCCACTGAAAAAGACAAAGCAGTGTGTGTTCTAACGAGGAGAGTTAGAATCCTCATTACCTCAGTGCAACTAAAATTTGCTAGCTCACTACAGCTGAACTCCTCCCTCCTCTGGCATTGGTCAGTTACAGAAGAGAGTGAAAGTGACGTGATGAAAGAAGGAGTTTCTCTCAAGAGAAGCTGGAGAACTGTTGTTTATTCCCAAGTTCTTCACTACATAAAGGACTGAAAACCGGGCCAGACGGTTTAGTGCCTAAAGAAGCAAGAGAGTGAAAACTAATACACTTGTGGTTGAACTGTTTTTACAGGTAAGACACCTTTTAAACCCAGAATCTTTGTGGCTGATTTGGTCATAAATGTGCATTCAAATCTGGCCTATGAACAAACATTGCAGGAAACAGCTACACTGCATAAGAACTGAGAGGGAATCTTCAGCCAATTTCAGACTTGACTTCTCTTGTGTCAGTGTAACAGACTTACTGGCTTATTCTCTCAATTATCAGCCCAGCCAGAATACACATTCACATCATCTGACTTGGTTCAGATGCCAGTGTGAAAGGTGACCCAGAAATAACCATGACAGATGGACAGATTCAAACACTTCTGATGTTATGCTTGGTTCTGATAGTTGTAAGCAATAATACATTTTATTTTGTTTTCAAAGCCAACATACTTTCAATACATTTAAAATTAGAGTAGTAACAACACAGTAAGATTTCCCTTAAAGAGGAAAAATCATTTAAAATACTGTTTTTACTTCTACCAGAAAAGAAACAAAAGGAAGTGAAGTTGGATAGCAGTGTTGACAACTCTTGCGATATTTCGTGGTTTTCTTAACGATTTCAAAGCTGGAATCAGGTTATTACTTGATAATCTCAGATCTCATTTAAAAAAAAATTTTTTTCTAGACCTCCTGGTTATTGTGAAAAGCTTGAAAATGTAACCCCTAAATGTGCCAGTTCCAGAATGTAAAGAAAAGGAACCCAAATTTACTATTTTTTATAATATCATGATTTTTAAGCCAATCGTGTGATTTTTGGGGGCCTGAGATTTGAACCTTTGGGGTTGACAATACTGGGATAGCTACAATTTACATTTCTATACATTCTGAACAGCACCAGTTGGGGACATTTCTGATCCTGCCTGCATATTGTTCTAATTGGGAGCAATATTGTTTTATATTTGGGGTATTTTCCCCATTTCTTTCATATGATGGGTTTTTTGAGGGTTTTTCAGTACTGCATACTGATAACTTTATCCAGATTGAATACTTCTTATATCCTTAGTGTGGTAAGTTTTAAATACATGAATAGCACAGGAAATATTTAACCAAGCAGTGCCTAGAAGGCTGGCCTTGCAGTTAAAGAACTAGATCAGGGCTCAGGAGCACTGGGTGTGGTTTCTGGCTCCCACTATGACCTTGAGTGCGTCCTTTAAACCCAGATCCTCAAAGGTATTTAGGCATCTAACTCCCCCTGAGGTAGGCACCTAAATATCTTTGATAATCTGGGCCACAGTTGTCTCCCTGACTCAATATCCCACCTGAAAAATGGGAACAATACCACTTCCTTTGTCTGACTGGTCTATTTAGATAGTAAGCTCTTCTGGACAGGAAGTACCTCTTAAAATGTGTATGTAGTGTGCCTAGCACACCTGAAGTCACTAGGCACAACGATAAAACAAACAAACTCATCTCCTTGTCTTCTGTAAGGGGCTTAGTCATTTTAAACAATCAGGGTGTAAAGAGGTTCTGCTCCTATGATGGCTGGTGACACTCATCCAAGCATTTCAGACACACACAATTGTTCTTTTACTCACCATACAGGTAACATGAACATCACGGACTATTTCACCAGAATTTCTTATAATGGCTCCTACAAAAACCCGGATTTGGAGACCTTGACTGCAATATTCCAGCACCATATCAGGGCTGTTCCTTTTGAAACCCTCAGCATCCACTGCGGGGAAACCATCGAGTTAGACTTAGAACCAGTTTATGACAAAATAGTGAAGAAGAAAC